AAGCTGCAGAGAGGCGTGTAAGACTGCAACTCTGCTTCCTGGTCCCAACTCTGGATAGTCAAATAAAGTTCATATCAAAATAAAAAAGACCAAACTACTCCTCCGGCAGGGGGCGGTACCTACAGGACACTTTAAATAGGAAACGGAAGCGTTCCTCGTATATGAAATGACGTCAGTGAGCGTGGTCGCGGAGATTCACCGGTGTTTACAGGTGAGACCGAAAAGCAGCTGATTTTAACGTTTCTGTGGTTATCGATATGCAACGGACTGTCACCTCGATGACGTCAGGCAGAGCCGTGACATAGTTACGACTGACACGTGCGTGTAGAGTCCCAGCTGACCGTTAGCTTAGCTGTTAGCATGTAGCTCCTTAGTAAACAAACAGAAACCTGACCAGTGATCAATACCGGCTGATCAACAGGAAGTGACGCAGACGCGAATCGCGCCGATCCTTCAATGGCTGATCAGCTGATCGCCACAGAAGAAGAGTGAGGCTCAGCAGGAACTGAAGCTGTTAGCTCAGTGCAGCTAGCTGGCTAACACTGGCTCTGTGTGACGTCAAAGGTCAGGCCTCTAATCAGTTTGTTAAATTTTTATTTTAGCTCAGAGTTTCAGAATGAGCGGAGGAGGCATACAGAGACACAGCAGGGCCGAGGAGGAGGAGGAGCACGAGGAGGACTTCTATGACTGTCCGGACACGCTGGAGCCTCCTGACCCCACTGCAGGAGGAGAGGAGAGCCAGCAGGACGTTCATTTTAAACACACACAGACTGAACGAGGAGACACAGAGAGGGAGGCAGCAGAAGGACACCGGGGAGAGGAGCGGGGAGACAGACTGAAGGAAGAGGAGGACGAGAAGGAGGTGAAAGCTCCACTGGAGACAGAGGATGTGGAGCAGGGGGAGGAGGGGGTAGACGGGGTGAAGGAAGAGGAGGAGGTGAAGGAGCAACAAGATGGAGACTCCCTGCATGACTCTGACACGGAGCTGAAGGAGGAGGTGAGCCCAGCCGTAGAGTTTGATGATGATTACCTGAGGGAGGTGGAAAAGGAGCTGACCGAGGAGGAGAAGGAGGTAATACTTGCTGACCAGTACCTGCATTGAGAGACATTTAGGTGTCAGCACACGGTGGTAAATCAGACTTCTTCTTTTTCAGAGTCGACGGCAGCAGAGCATCAGTCTGAAGGAGGCGGGAAACGCCCACTTTAAGAGGGGAGGTGAGTCTGTGAGATCAGCACTGTGGAGCTCCTGCATACTGCAAGGGGTCAGAGGTCACACTATCAGGGTTTCCCGTACACGGTCAAATGAAAGGGGCGGGGCTGGCTGCTTCTGACCCATTTAAAAAGGGCAGTATGGATCATGTGACTCATCTCACACAAACACGAACCCTGAGAGCCGCCTAAACCACAGGTGAGAGTCTGTGTGACCTCTGACCCTGAACGACCTCTGACTCAGACCAGCAGAATCTGGTGATCTGTGGCGGGAAAATAAATTTTGATTGCCGTGAATGATTTTGTGTCTGAGCATGCTCAGCACTGCCGCCTGCACTGTGAGACTTTAACCTGTATCCATGGAAACGTGAAAGATTCCTCTCCCACGGCCTGATGAAGGAGACGTGAAATCAGATCAGGGTGAATGAATGTGATTGGATGAACACGTGTTCAGGTGTGTGCTCTGTGTTTGCAGCTGAATGACAGAGACTTGATCACATGATCACTTTCAGTCTGACCTGCTGGAGCAATCAATATTATTTATTACTGTTGCTCATCAGGAAACTGAGCCGTCTTCAGAAATGGTGATGTCATACATGTTGATCTGTTACCGTGGTAACCTGCTCTGGGCTCTGTGTGTAACATTTGCTTGTTGTTCCCACAGACTGGGCGGAGGCGGGGCGAAACTACACGGATGCGCTGTCTGTGTGCCCCGTCTGTTTCAGCAGAGAGCGAGCTGTGCTGTTCTCCAACAGAGCCGCCGCAAGGCTGCACCTGGTAACATGCTATAAACACGCTAGCTCTATGCCAGTATCGTTGCTAACATGAAGGATGTAGAGCCGTCGGTGTGACAGAAGTCTGGTTCTATGAGTACCTGCTTCACCTCTAACACAGCTTTGTGTTGGTTAGTCCTTTTGTGGCTCTGCACACAGATACACCTTATCCAATCAGGAGGAAGCGTCCACACGCTGTAAACATCGCTCGTTTCCCTCTGAAACTTGGGTACCCCCCTAACGTTTTCTACTTCCTGTGTCACTGCCTGTGTGATGCCCTGTGCGATGCCCTGTGCGTGGGCATCACACAGCCCCAAATTAGGCCGCTGGACATTTAATGTTGCGACTGCAGTTTGCTCGAGTCACCAGGTTCGTGCTGCAGCAGGTGGGCGTTTCCTCCTGATCGACCAATGAGAGCAAAAGTTTGAAAGGTGCAAAACACTGCATGTTAGCAATGATCTGTTATCAGTAATGCCATTAGCTGCGTGCTAACAGGTTAGCGGCGTGCTTACAGTGTGTGTCTCTGTCAGGATCTGAAGGAGCAGGCGATCTCAGACTGCAGCAGAGGTGAGCGATGACATCACACCCCTCCTGGGTAGCAGCGGCTGTGTAATAATTATTCATTGTACTGACTGATTGGCTTTGTGGTTCTCATAGCAATAGCGCTGGATCCTGACTACCTGCGGGCGCTGCTGAGGAGGGCGGAGCTTTACGAGCAGACAGAGAAGCTGGACGAGGCTCTGGAGGACTACCAGAAGGTTCTGGAACGAGACCCAAATAATGTTGCTGCCAGGCAGGCGGCCATGGTGAGTTCACTGACTGTGGGACAAAGCAGAACCAGGCAAGCTCTGTTCAATGTTAAAACCTAAAATGTGGGCTAAAAACCAAAGAAGCTGGAGTTTACATGAAATCTCCATTTCATTTGTATAATTTATCAGTCTTTAAATTGTGATGCCAGTTAGCGGAGTTTTAAAAACAGGAAGTGAACCCGTTAAAGAGATGACCGGCTGATGGAGTACTCTGTAGGTGAAATCATGATGAATGTAAATTCACTGAAAGTTCTCCAACTAAGGATGTCTGTGGGCTGATGCAGTTTGTCTGTCGTGTAGGCAGGTCACCATGGTAACCGCTGTAGTGTGTTCTTGACGGCGCCAGGTCAGTGTTCTCAGAGCCCTGCTGAGGTTACTTCTCTGTAGAAGAAGAGCTCTCGTGTTGGTGCAGATCTTATAGACTTCCTGTGGTGATTAACAGCTTAACATGTGAAGGGTCCCCGGTTTGATGCTTGGAGAACACACAGACTCTGGGCAGGCCTCAGACGATGTGGGCGCTGTCAGGAAGTGAAATCAAACACCTGCTGTGAGGGAGAACAGCTGGAATCACCTGCACCATCTGTTTGACACCATCAGTCATTGTCTAACTCAGCTTGTTTTTGTGAGGATGTTCCTCTGTGGATTCAGTCGTGTTTAGAAAGAAATGTGTACGTATGTATGGCGTCACATCGCCTTCCCTGTACTGCAGGCTCCCGCCCCCTGTAACCACACCTTACATAAACTGCCTCCCTGCTAGGACTGGGCTATATTATACAGTTCACGGTAATACCGGTACAATGGCCCTTTCTCAATTCTCAAGTACGCGAGTCCGTAGGGCTGTTCGATATAACGATATATATCGGATGACGATATAAAAACGTTTAAAAAAATAAAATCATCACATAAGAATTAAATCAATAAAATCAGGGTCTGACTGTGTCATAAGCCAAGAAGTAAAAACGGGTTTTACGTTAAAAGTGGACAGTGAGGGGGCCTCTCTAATGTGCTGGGGCAGAGAAGGCCCCGCCCCCTCTGAGCTTCCTCTTGGACCTGGGTACCTCCAGGAGCAGACCTGGGGGGTGGGTAAGGACGAAGAAGCTCAGAGAGGTAAGTTGGGGCAAGACCGTTTAATGCTTAAACTTTAAGCATTTAAAAACAAACATGAGAATTTTAAAATGAACTCTAAGATATACAGGCAGCCAATGGAGTGAAGCCAGGATGGGAGTTATGTGCTCTCTTTTACGAGTTCTGGTTAAAAGTCGTGCAGCAGCATTTTGGACCAGCTGCAGACGAGAGAGAAGACGCTGACTAACTCCAAAATACAGCACATTACAGTAATCCAAACGAGATGGAATAAAAGCATCGATTACTGTTTCAAAATGCGGCCTGGATAAAATAGGTCTTCTCTTTGCCAAACGCCTTAAATGATAAAAACTGGACTTGACAGTAGCCCTAATTTGACTGTCTAATTTAAAATCACTGTCCATCTTAAAACCCAGGTTAGTAACAACAGATTTAAAATACTCTGCCAGGGGTCCCAAATCAAAAGCGGAGGGTTCACAAGGTCCACTAGGACCAAACAGAATGACCTCAGTTTTGCTTGAATTACATCTTAGAAAGTTTAGGGACATCCAAGATTTAATGTCTTCTAGAGATGCTAGAAGTGGCTTAATAGCAGTGGAAGGATATTCCATGCCTTCTGAGGATGGTTCCCAGGGGCTGTAAATATAATGAAAAAAGTAGAGGCCCTAAAATTGAGAAAAGTTAACACTAATAGTTCTGTCAGAAAGATAAGACCTAAACCATTTCAAAGCAGTACCACGAATGTCTGCAAGATGGTGCAAGCGAGTCAGTAAAATGCTGTGGTCTACAGTGTCAAAGGCAGCTGTTAGGTCAAGGAGGACAAGAACATCATGATTGCCAGAGTCACAGGAAAGGAAGATATCATTAAAAACCTTTAAGAGTGCTGACTCCGTGCTATGAAAGTTTTTAAAACCTGATTGGAAGACCTCTAGGACACCATTCTCATTTAAAAAATCCATCAATTGGCAATGTACAATTTTCTCTAAGATTTTAGACATAAAAGACAACTTGGAGAGAGGCCTGTAGTTAGCCAACACAGTGTGGTCCAGGGCAGGTTTCTTAAGCAAGGGTTGTACTACTGCATGCTTAAAACGAGCAGGGACTACACCAGATATTAAACTGCTGTTTATAACAGTAAGAACAGCCTGGCCTATGCTAGGAAAAATCTCCTTAAAAAATTGTGGTGGGACAGGATCATTTGGGGAACCAGAGGGCCTCAGGTGGCCGACCACATCCTCTAAATAAGAAAGAGTCACAGGCTCAAACTGGTTAAAAACAGCAGAGCAAGGGATCGAGACAGAGGGGTCGGACTCATGAGTGCCCGCATGGCTGCAACCTTCTCAATGAAAAACACATAAAATCATTAGTTTATGAGAGGCCTCCAAGCAGCCACTTTGTGAAGCATTTAAGACTTAAGTCAATAGAGTTAAATAACACGTGGATTGTGACTGTTGGAGGAAATGATCTTAGAGAAGTATTTTCTTTTAGCCTCTTTGACCGTATCCTGATAGAGGCACCAGCAGTCCTTTAGGATTGGAAGAGACACCTGCAGTTTGTCCCTCTTCCATCTGCGTTCAGCTCTACGACACTCCCTCCTCACAGCCCGAGTGGCGTCATTAAACCAAGGGTCCGTTTTAGCCTTGGGCTGCCTGGTTATTAATGGTGCCACAGAGTCCAGAATGGTTAGGCAAGAAGATTGAAACCAGGAGCTGAGGTCCTCTGTGTCCAAGGGAGTACGATCGGCAGGGATAGACAGCTGGTTAAAAGCAGAGGAGAACTGGGCAGCAGTGGAAGGGTTAATAATCTGACAGCGGTGAACAGGAGCACCGGTTTGAGCTGTAGTGTGTGAAAACACATCATCAAATAATACAGCCATATGGTCAGAGAAAGCAGTGTCAGTCACTTCCACGTTAGACACAGGTAGACTGTGTGACAAGACCAGGTCCAGTGTGTGTCCGTGTTCATGTGTGGGACCAGGTACAGACTGGACCAGATTAAAAGAGTCAATGAGGCTTAAAAACTCCTTCACCAGAGGTTTATCAGGGCAGCGGACATGGATATTAAAATCTCCCACAATAAGAACATGATCGTAGTTGGGCAGAATCCCTGCTAGAAATTCTGAAAGGTCATTAATGAAATTCTGATTGTATTTAGGGGGACGATAAATAACAGCAAAGAGCACAGAGTTAGAGCGACTGACTTAAAAACACGTGAGCTCAGAACTGGAAGATGAGGGCTGTAAAACACACTGTTTACATTTAAAATCCTTTTTAAAAACATCTGCCGTACCTCCTCCTCTCCCTGATGTCCTTGGTGTGTTAAAATAGGAAAAAGTTCGGATAAAGTACTGGACTCACCAGTATTAAGCCAAGTCTCTGTGACACACATTAAGTCCAATTTCCAGGAGATGACGGACTCATTCAGAATAAAAGATTTGTTCACAAGTGATCTGGCGTTTACCAGCCCAATCCTGACAGGCGCCGGGGATGAGGTAAAAGCCCCAGCGGCACAGGGAGTCCGACACAGCGGCCTCAGATTGCGGACGTTCGCCCGGCGCACGTTGAGCCGAGGGGGACAGGGGTCACGGAGGAG